ATATGTTGAGCCAAGAAGAGTTTTGGAAATCAAACGAAAACTTTGTGATGTCTTGCTTCCACTGAGGTAATGAAGTCAGACCCAGGCTTGAAAAAGCTCAATCAAGTCTTGTCATAAAGGAAGCAGAACTTTCTAACTTCTTCGGAATAAGGCGTCACACACAGATGGCTTCCTATTTTGCTTTAGGTAGTGTTAATCCCAAGATCATCCGACACCATATTCAAAAAGAAGCAAAGAAATAAACTCCAAAAAGTACAGCACAAGCATGAGTGGCATTCACCACACTCTGAATTTGCATGGGGAGCCATGGCTCTGAACACTCTAGATGCAAGTAAAAAAAAAAAATTTTTTTTTCACAACAGACTTGTACTTTGTTTTTTCAAAACAACTTCATTTTATGCTCCAAATAAAAGACTGCTGAATCTTCTGAGAAAAAAGAAGGGGGAAAAAAAGAGGGAAGGATCATCTTTGATCATGCAATGAGTTGATTTCAACATGTAGAAATAAGGTAAAGAGACTTGATTGCAATGACTGTGTGAAACAGTGGATGTTATAGGCAGACAATTTGGCTCTTTATAAAATAGAGGTAATTTCTCCTCTACATTATTCCCCCTTTCATTTACAAATGGCTGTAGTTTCCAATCATGGCAAGGACTTGGCTGTCTTTCTTCCACCAAATGCTCTGCTAGCTGACAGGGATCATGGAGCTGTGAAAATAGAAATGGGAGGGGAAAGGCTGATAAAGGAGTTACTTCAGGCAACATGATTTTAGTTTACAGATATAGGAATTAACAGCTTACATGTCCCACAGGGAAAAGCAAATATCCAGGATAAGGTCAACATGTTTTAATTCCTACTGTTCCAATTTTTTTTTGGAAGTCAAAAGTCTTCAGACAGAGAAAATGCCAAAGACTTCAAAATGCCACTACCAGGCCCCCTCCATTGGACCTTCATTAACAAACAAGAGTTTGGGTGAAGTAGCGTCATCCAGGATGAGCAAAGGCAGCTTCTCTGAATGGACAGAGCAGCTCGTGTTTCCCTCTACTAAGGAGGGAACTTTGTGTCATACCACTAAGGCCAAAAAACAAAGTGAAAAAAGAAACAAGTTTTCTTTTACTATGGCAGCATAAAAATCGTAAGGGCCTAAGGAAGCTTTTGTGTACACTTTTTTTTTTTAATTAAACTTTCTATTTTCTTACATCACTGTTCAGTTTTGTACAATTTGTAAAGCCAATCTAACAGTGGAGGTTGGGAAGCAGGGAGACAGGGAAAACTCTATTTAGAGTTATAGGCTATATATTTAATGCCACCAATGCAAATGTAAATTATGGAAAAATAAGTATTATGAAAACAAAAGGATTATGCTTGTTGGAATAGGAGGGTTCCAAAGGACCAATAAAATGCTGAGGCCCCAGAAAGTAACAGGTCTATTTACAAACTGCTTAGGAATCACCCAAGAGTGCTGTCGTCCTTCCACCAGGGCTGGGGATTCAGTATGAAAGCACTGGAAGCAAGGACTGGAAAAGATGCTCAGTGACCCAAAAGTCCACACCTTCACTTCCGCACTTTCCCTTTCAGTGACAGCTGCAGAACACTTGGTGAGCGGCTGGGAAACATTAGAGCTGAAAGAACAGCACACAGGGCATAACAGGCACACATGACTGACGTTAGGGCAGAGCACATATGTGCACACAGAGTCAAAGCCAATTCCAGGAGAGTCTGGCAGTGATACTCTGCCATGCTGCTTACTTCAGAGGTGACAACATGAGAACAGTGGTCCAAGCAAAATACATTTCCAATCTTAGACATTCTATTTTAGAAACTAACACACTTGATTTGGCACAGAATGTTTAATATTTTTAATGATCTCTTTTTAATGATCTCATTTTCCATAGATGCTTATTGGTGTCATATGAGAAACACAGTAAAAATTGAGCAACGGTCTTTACTGTTTCAGAGCAAGAGAAACACACAGAGGGTCTGCCTGCTATTGTTTGAGGTGCCTGCATCATGTACTGTTGTCACAATGTCTCATTAGAAAGGCTGTGTGGGGCCCCTCAAGTCATTAAGTCCAACTGCCATGTGTTCTCTGTATCTGCCAGGTCCCAGTATGCAACTTTCCAGGAAACAGAGCATGATGTTTTAACTTCAATTTAATTTCAGTGTCTTTCTTTTAAATATTCAAAACTGGAAGAAGTCAGAGTTGAAAGAGCAGTTCACTTTTTTTTCATCCACTAATTTACACGTGTCTAGCAAAACAAATCACTTTTAGGTCCATAAAAACTACATTGGCTTGTTCATATTTCTGGCTGAGGAAGATGAAGTCCACAATTCCAGCTAAAATATGGAGATGCCATTGTGTCAAAGTGGTTCACAGGCCTGCTGGCAAGATGGGACAGTTGGCACTGGTATTCCTGATCTCCCTTCAGAGAAACAGGTGACTAACTAGCCTCAGAGAACAGCAGAGGATATATGGATCTTTTAAAAAATCCTATTTTTATCTCTTCATTTACAAAAGTAAAGAGTTAGGTCTGGGAAGGAAATATTGCCAGTTGGTGGTGAAGATGAGTCTAGTCTCATTTTTCCATGACGTCAGTTATTCTGATTCCAAAAATAAAAATACTTTGAAAACAAAGCAGTACTGAAGATTGCTAGTGAGCTAAGATTTAGAATTATCTGAAATATTGTGTGAAATAGCATTCTACTTTCTCTTAATTATTAGTTCCTGATAATAAAAGTGAACTTGTATTCACACCCAGGTACTGCGTTTGCCCAAGATACGGCTCATCTGGTGATATGTTCTCACGTGCCCAGAGATACAAAATGAGAATGCAGTCAGTTAATCACATGCTGTGATCAATGTGCTCTTCGATGCTCTTATCTTCTCATTTGTACTTGGAGGGCCTCATCAGCGAATTTTCTGCAAGTTCTTTGGCTGTGACTGAACCAAGAATGACTTTTAGGTTCTCATTAGGTGACTGTCAACATCATCTAAAGGTACAGTCAAAAACTCATTCACAGCCAAAATGAAGCCATTATGTCATGTTAGGACCTTTCAGGGTGTGAGCTGGTTTCAAGTCTTGCTTAAGGGGGAGGTTGAGGAAGTGGCTGAGTCATCAGAGAGTAATTTTCAAAGAGTCAACTCTTTAGAAGGGCAACTTGCCAGAAGTGGAGAATCAGACAAGAGAAAGGGGCCACCAGTTATGATGTCCTGTCCAATGGAATGACAGGCAAGAAATGTTCTGATGCCTAAAGAGTTCGGTAATCTGCATGTTCTGGATTTTGTTGTCAGTTCTTGAATTTAAAATGTTTTGTGAAAAGGAATTAAACTACTGGATTTGGGAGGCAGTTTTGTAAATCACTGGAAAATTAAGAGAAGCAAATTGTACTAGAAAAAAAAAGAAGTGACCCTAAGTTTGAAGATGTAGGATGCAGCACATAAAGCCCTAAACTCTCAAGATGCATGCAGAGATTTCCTATGTTATTAGGGTTCAAAGTTATATTGCCTCATCTGTATCTTAGAATCTACATCAAAAATACATCACCTCATATAATAACTTATTGAGGACCATCAAATAAACTCAGGACTTATCTTTTACCACTTATGTTAAAATTAATGTACAATGCACGCTATGATTTGATTCCTTTTCCAAAGTCATGCAATATAAAAACAAGACAGACAAAAGAATGAAAGCAGACACAAAAGTAAATCAGAATGACCTCACAATCATTTCAACAGGGAACACTGTGAAGTCGAGTTTTCCTATTCTCCTTCTCCCTTAAAATGCACTCGCTCTCGTGACCAAGGGCATAGGTGACCATAAAATAGTGATCTTGAGCTTCAAAAATGAGTGGTAGAACTAGCTACATGCTTTAATCCTTCTCTAGAGGCTACTTATATAAAAGTCATAAAGGAATGAGGTATTGATTCATTGGAGCAAGTTTGGTAAGGGAAGCAAAATACAATTCTGAGAAGACATCTATTCTTTCTAACATAATGAAATCCATGATAATACATCAGACCCAAAGACTCAGAATTAAGCCAATAAACAACTCTCCCAATTCTGAAAAACATGTAAAAGGGGGCAAGCTGTACAAATCAACATTCAAAATGCAGAAACTCTGATTTTAAAATACATTTCATATTTGAGAGATTTCTGAGAACGTAAAAAAACGCAACTTCCTAACATCCCAAATCTCAAAGAAATCGACATTTTTTCCTGATTGGAAAAAGATAATGTTTTATTAGTTAAAGCCTAACATACTGTTTATAATCTTATTTGTAAACCACTTGAATTTTAAATAATAATTAACTTTGTGCTCACCTGAGGTATTATGACCTTCCTCTTAGAGAAGACTGTTAAGAAGAGCTCTCTGGGTAATGCCTGATGTGACTCCTCTTCCTCAAGAACAGAGGGCAAAGTCCCACATCAGCCAGCTGTATGTTTTCCCTGTTCATCCTTTTCTAATAAAGTGGGTGTTTTCAAGGACTTTTTGAAGTGGCTCGTAGGTGTTGCCAGAAAAGAAGGGTATCTCTGGGCCAGGAGGAATGAGTCTTTTGTCTCAATTCCCCTGGAAGGAGTCAGTCCAGCTTTCCCCTGTATGACAGTCACCTGTGCAGGGAGTAGCTGCTGCCTGTGGAGGTGTATGTGTCCCTGCCTGATTAAACACTACAAATTAGGGAGCATCCTAAGCATCAATTCTGTTCTTTAAATCTGGGAGGATACTTGGCCAGAGCTTTTGTAAACACAGAGGTAAAGTGTTTTCTCATCACCATAGGCCAGAGGAGGGCAGCGACTAGGCTCTGGACAGAATATTGCTAGTCATACAGCAGTGGCAGCAGTGGTAAAGTGAGCCTGGAAAAGGAGTAGAGATTTAGCACAGAGAGACATGAAAGCATCTTGTCTCTTGACAACAGAAGCCCATGCATAGTGAGGAAGCGAGAAGCCAAGCACCATGCAGGCGCCCACTGACACTGTGCAGCTCTGCCCGGCACCAACCTGCTGTGACCCTGCATGTCCCCCAGCTCCTTCTGCAGCCTGGCATTCTTCTCCTCTTCCTCAAGCAACCGCCTCTTCACAGTGCGCAGTTCCTGCTGGGCCTCACACTTGATGTCATTGGCCACCACCACCGCAGTCTGCAGGTCTGCCTGAAACCGCCTCCACTCCTCGGTCTCCTCCTGGGAAGGGTAGAGTCCACGCCATGTCAGATGCCTGCCAGACTGGTAATGGGAGAGGGGCTCCAGGGCCCCCATGTCATCACGAAGAAAGACTGGGTGGGTGGCACTTAGTGAGGCACTGCTTTAATACTATCTCACTACCCGGCAAAGGCACAGGAGGAATTACACCTTCGTGTTAGCAGAGCTCTCATACTGAAAGTGAATTGCTGCTTTAATATTACTTTCTGCCAACACTAATTTGTAGTTCTAGGGCCCCTGGAAATGCACTTTGAGAAAGCAGGCTAGAGAGTAACCAGGGTATTTTTCAAAGGTCTCTAAACCTAAAACAAGAATACTTTATAGTAAAATGATGAAGGTGCCCCGCCCTTGCTCTCACACATTTTACCTTTATCTGCTTAGTCAAAGTCTTCAGTTGTCTTTCCAGGTCTGACTTCTGTTCCTCCAGCTTCATCACATTACCTAAAAATAAACAAGTCAGACAGGAGTTGGAAAAGTTGTAAGACTCTTGAGAGAAGGTAAAGTAGGGGGCAAAGGAGCAGCTCTGGATACTGCAAGGGGCTTTACATCTACCCATTCCACTACAGACCCCATATTCAGCACCTACACCTTCCTCCAAGATAGAAAATGGGTTGATTTGGAAAAGAAGTGGTGCTGAGTCAGGTTGTACCCTCAGATAATCAATTGTACAACCACGAAATACTGTGGGAATACTTCCAATTATTATACTTACACTGATTTTCACACACAATGCTTTGAATGTCTTTTATTGCTGTGAAGTAAAGGGCTTTGTTATAGCAGAGAACATGAGTTAATTCTTTTTTTTTTTTTTGTGGGACACTCGATGGCGGCTGGGGAACAAACCGGCACTGCAGAGGCTGCGGGCAGTCTCGCAGCCCAGTGCTCAACCACTGCACCACCAGGGGAGGCCCATGATAGTTATTTCTATTGTGAGTCTCAGACTTATTTCTGGGGTCATGGCTCTTAAACCTCAGTCATTTAAGCAGCTTTCCTACAGTGACATGTTCAAGCCCTGGACTCTGCCCCATGGAATCCAGGGGTAGACAGTGTGTGCGTGTGTGTGTGTGTGTACATGTGCGTCTGTGCACACACACACGCCTGCGCAAGGACGGTTCCATAGGTGACTTGACTATCTCTCTTCCTAAGAACATCTTATCCCTCTGCCTCCAATTCTCTCCTCATTGCTATCAGTTATTTCCATTTAAATTTAGTCAAGTCCATTACGAGTTAAATTCTTCAGTGGTTTCTCATGCAGAGCAGTAATTGTCTGTTAAGGATGTTAATCAGAATTACCAGAGAAGTCTAAAAAAAACATATGGTCAGATATACTCCAGCTGTTGTACATCAGCACATGGGGCCTGAGAATTTGTTTGGGGTCAATGCTACAGAATAAGAAACACTCCTTAACTTTTTTTATTTTTCTGCCCCTTTCTCTCAAGGATTTTATGGAGAGAAGTGATTAGTTCTAGGGCTGGATTTGTGTCCCTGGGTCGCCTAGGAAAAACACATTTAAATACAATACCTTAATATCCCTGATAGAATTAGAAAGCTTCTCAAGAGACACGTGATCTGTATTATTTTCAGTCTTGGATATGTTATGATATAACCACAAGGAGTGGGTCTGACATCTACTCTGGACATTAATTATATGCTGGCTTTCTTGGTGAGTCTATCCAGACTTTTTTAAAGGCCTGGTGACAATGCAATCAAATTCTCACACAGTAATAATATATACTCGAAAGGAAAGCAAAACAAACCTGCTCTTCTTTGATACCATACTTTTCAAGTGTGGCACTGTAATTAGAAACATACACAGTGGTAGCTAGTATTTGTGCTATATGTATGACACTGAGTGCTGATGTTCTACATGTAGTTCTACCACATGGTATATGTGATGAAGAATGGAATGGACACTGTCAAGTCTGGCGCTAGCCAGTTCACCAAGGTGTAGTACATACAGTTGATTCTCATTATTGATGGTAGTTACATGAAGTCTCCATGCACACACAAGTAGCAAATAGTGGACGACTGCTCCTATGGGAATACAGGGCTACATTCCTGAGAGCCTCTGCTCAGAACTTTCTTGTCAACAAAAACACTGATCGCATAATATAGGCTCATTTGCCAAAGTGTGTGAAACACGCCCATCTCATCAGTGCTAGAAGCCGGCTCTTCCACATCAACCTCTTCCTGTATAACACTCAGCAGGTATTTTAAAAATTCTCTTGTGGTCTCCTTATCTATCACACTTCGGTCTTTGACCCTTCTCATGCAAAGGGTCACTCACTGGCCTTTTGAACCCAGTGAATCACATAGAAATAGCCAAGAAGCTAAAGCTTTACAACGATGCATTTTTTAAAAATCAGTATTCTCTCATGACTACACAAATTTAGCTACTTTTCTATATTTTCCACAGTTTCATCATGCACTATACTATACATGGTATGTTAGCACTTTCTAAAGCAATCTCATGCAGAGATTGGTGAATTTTCTTTCTCTGGAAATGTTTATTAACATGCCCCAATTTATTGAACACTTAATTTATGAACTCAGAGTAAAAAGCACTATAACTGAACAAAGCTTATCCGACATCTATATTTTTCCATAAGGTAAAAAAGGGCACACTAAATAAACGAAGGGAAAAACCCTTGTTTACAGTATGAGACCTGAAACAAGAAGGTGTAGCATCATCTTTTTCTACCTGAGCAGGGGATTGCATTTTGGGAGACTCAAATTATTCACTGCTCGGCACATCTGTGAATGACTATGAAAGTGCAGCGAGTATTGATCTGGGGGTTACAGATACATTTTGGCAAACAGGTGAACTCATAAATATAATCAAGGATGGATGACACATATTGGATGGTACATGTTGGGGAACTTTTCAGGCAACTGACTAAGCTGTTTTTCAGCAATGGCTAGTGTCATTAAAAGCTCTGAGCATTAATTCTTTCCTTACAAAAGCAAAACACATTAGATGTGATAATTTGAGATTTATTTGGATAACACAGGCAATATTTAACTAATCTTTTTTTAAAATGTCTTTCCCTATTCAAAGCAAACAGTGAGTCAGAAACAAGCCATAGATTGGTGCCTCTTCAATAACTAAGGGGCCAGCATATCTACGTTATTTGATATCGTACCACTGTGAGACACAAGCTGGAATTGGTGTCTCCTAAGAGCACGTGTTTGTATCTGTCTGACCATGTCATCCATCTTTCTGCTCATCAGACTCAAAATGCAATGCACTGTTAATACATGGTAAGTGTGGTTAGCAGCATGACTCACACAGCACACCTAACACTACAAAGTTTATTTGCTCTTTTCTATAATCACTCTACTTTGTTGATTCACAGTCAACAATCTATTCTTCTACGTCACCAGTTTTCAGCTTAGTTTAGGAGATTAATTATTCTGTCTTTCTATTCTTCTTAGGTGATTATAGAGCATTCAGCAGGAAGACTTTTCAAAGTCCAGACAACACACCTTCTTGCATACCCTTTTAATGTCACCCACTGCTACTAATGTCTTTTGTATCCTACTCATTCCTGATCCACATGTTGCCAGGGTTTGATTCCACTTACTTTCTAGTTCATTGATGAGTTGATTGTTATGTAACTTGACAGCTCTGTGCTGTTCCACCTGGTCTTCTAACTCAAATATGGTTTCCTTCATGTCTTTTATCTCTGCATCACTCTCTGATGCTTTCTCTTGCAGTTTTAGGCTGGTTCTGCTCAGCTGCTCTGCTTGATGGTCACATATCTCCTTCAGATAAGAATAATCCTTTTCCACCTAGAATTAAAGGAAGGTTTCCCTGGTCAGTTTAACAGAAAATATTCCCCACATTTCAGCATCAGGTTCATCAGTGTAACAGCAAAGGACGCTCTTGGCATGTACTATACCCACCATTGTTTCCTTATGATAACCTCAGAAATAGCCAAGGTAACAAAAATACAGATAAACAGGATGTGTGTAAAGGGTCAATGGGTGGCTTTTGTGCCCCTTTCTACCAGCCCACAGGTCATATGTGCTTAAATTCCCTCTTTTCCTGTGCTTCTCTGGAAGGTTCAGGTTCTGTACTGGGAGAGCGGGCCTGGCTGCCTGGGTGTGGTGGTCTCGTCTCACATCTGCTGTGGAGCAGCGCCCTCTGCTGATGAACCAGGAACAGGGCCCCTGAGACCTGTAAGATCCCCTATAAACCCAAGTCTCTTCAGGCATAAAGTATAGTGGTTTCACTTTCTTTAGAGGAATACATTAATGTGATAGAGAGTACTGACTGAAAGGTACATGCATAAGACACAGAAATGTGGTGTAACAGATCCTCATTTTACTTTTTAATCATTAAATATTTTAAATATATAGAAAAGCATTCAAAGTAGAGACCACCATGCACTCAAATATATTCAGCAACGGTTAAATTTTGGCACATTTACTTTGACAAGATTTATTAAGGTTTCGACCTTTCCTCCCTGTGCCCTGCCCACCCCTCCAAGTAAAATGCATTATTGGTTTATGGTCATTTTTTGAATGTTTTTCACCTTTACTATACATACAGTGTGTGCCCATGATAATACATAGTCTTGTTCTGCATGTTTTTAAATGCTCACACAAATGATATTACACTATAATATGCTTTTGCAGTGCACTGTATTATACTTCACTGCATATGGTAGCATGTTTTTGCCTTCATCTATGCTTATCATGCTTTTGAAATTTGTTTTAAACAATGTTTTTGAGATGTATCCATATTGATATACATGACTCTAGGTCATTACTTTAAATGACCTTGCATAGTATTATATTGTCTGAATATAATAATTATCTGATTATATGAACCATGCTCTGTCTCTACAGTCCCTCAATTTATGAAACCAAATAGCTGAGAATTTACCAGGTAATGTAAGCTTGATGCCTTATAGGTTTTCTCCTAGATTTGGGGGTTTTGGGACCTCCATACTTAATAAAATTTTGCCCCAATTACATTTTATGCACAAAACCTTCTGGCCATCAATTCTATAGAGACAAGAACCCTGTCTGCTTGGTTGTTTTTTTTTTAACCACTGTATACCTGGTGCCCAGTGTCAGATACAAAAGAGGAACACTGGAAGGCAGTACTGCAGTGCATTTCAATCAAGAATAAATAAATAGGGCCTCCCCTGGTGGTGCAGCGGTTGAGCGCTGGGCTGTGAAGCTGCCCACAGCCTCTGCAGTGCCGGTTTGATTCCCGGCCACCGGTGAGGGTCCCACATGGCTCAACAGACCTCTCCTGTCTGGCCCACTGCTCCTCTCAGCAGTGTATTTCATCAATCTGCCTGTTCAGCTCCCCGCTCTGGCTCTGGTGAATTCTCTCACCCTCCCGCGCTTCTGACTGTACCCAGTGATTTTATAAATAAATAATCTTTTTTTAAAAAAAAGAATAAATAAATAAAGAAGGAAGGATAAATAAATAAAGGAATAAGAAAGAAAGGAAGAGTAGGGGAGAGAAAATAAGAGCAAGCAGTAGGAAACAGAGTACACTGCTTGTGTTCTGGGGGGGGGCACTCTTCTGTGAAATCTGAGTTTTAATTATAAAGGGTGTGTGGTTCTGGACTGCAAGATAAAATATATCATTGTAAGTTGTGGTCAAAAAAGTTTGTGCTGAAGCACATCACAGTGGCTAAGGGTGTAAACCTGGAGCCACACTGCCAGAACCTAAATTCCAATTCTATCCAGCCAAGCTGTGTTCTTTAATACAGAACTGCATTCTTAACTCCCCTGCCTCGGTTTCCTGAAGTCAACAATGAAGTGAAATAATGCACTTAGAAGAGTTTACCACAGTGCCTGGCAAGTGGTAGGCATTTGATACAAGTTTTTGTTTCTCTAATAATTGTCTTATTATCTATACAATATTAGATAATAACACAAGTCCAAGTAAGTTATAACACATGGAAAAAAGACCAAGTTTTATTATCTTTTGACAGCTATTTTAATAAATGGAAGACAATGCTTAAGGAGAAGATAGGCACTGCATTTTAAATACTAGAAGGTTGGTGTCTGACAGGATTTGAACTGCATGAACAGAAGGAGCTTGTGAGTCCTGCATCCTAAGTCCGACAGGGGCCAGCATGGAGCTGGCTGGGCTCCTCCATGTCCCTCAGGCTGGAGTCTAGAAACATACACAGTACTGAACTGGGACTAGTGTGGGTCAGGGGTAAAACTAGAGGAGGGTACAACTAGATAACTGAAAGGGTGAAGATGCTGAGGAGGGTCTCTGTGGCAGTGGAAGCACCGACCTTCCTTTATTTCCTATGTGTTGACTCCTCAGGATCCCAGGCACCGAATGGTGAGCACAGGATGGGGAGGGGCCGCTGTGAAGAGTGTGCTGCCCACAGTGGGGGCTGGTAAAACTATTGATCAGTACACTGTTTCAAATACACACATCACTCCTCTTCAATTCAGAATAATCCTCTCAAGTTTAACTCCAGGAAGGCCTTTTATTTGAAAAAAAATAAACCAGGGCCTCCCCACTGGCGCAGTGGTTGAGCGCTGGACTGAGAAGCTACCCACAGCCTCTGCAGCGCTGGTTCGATCCCTGGCCACCGGCGAGGGTCCCACATAGCGTGCAGACCTCTCCTGCCGTGCCCGCTGCTCCCCTCAGCAGTGTATTGTCAGTCTGCCTGTTCTGTTCCCTGCTCTGGCTCTGGTAAATTCTCTCACCCTCCCGCGCTTCTGACTGTACCCAGTGCTTGTATAAATAAATAAATAAATCTTAATAAATAAATAAATAAATAAAATAAACCACCCTTAACTTTTTACACCTTCTTTCCCTAAGGCCAAGAGGTAATAACAGGTATTTTTGTGTTCATTTTACAATGAACAAATGGAGAGAGGGAGAAATTAAATCATTTGACATGAATAATCTGATTTATCAAGTAGCTAAAGTAAAAGCCCTGTACAGGTACCTCCCTTTGCTGCACTTTGCAGATATTGTGCGTTTTACAAATCAAAGGTTTGCGGCAACCCAGCATCCAGCACTTTTATCAACACCCTTTTTCTAACAGTATGTGCTCACTTCTTGTCTCTATATCACATTTAATTAAGGTATATACACTTTTTTTTAACACAATGCTATTGCACACTTAGATTACTTTACAGTATAAGCATAATTTTTACATGCACTGGGAAACAAAAACTTGGAGACTGGCTTTATTGTGATATTCCCTTTGCTGCGGTGGTCTGGAACCAAACTGTCTCCAAGGTGCGCCTGCACTTTGATGGCTGCTAGAGAAGGCTGCCTCTGCACACTGGCCTTTCTGCCAGTCGGTTCTTTTGAGTCTAGCTTCTCTAGTTCAAAAATTGCACTTGATGCCCAGCAATATGATTTTTAATGTTTCCCTTTAAAAAAAGAAATTGCTTTTGTTCATTCCAAGTGCTTGCATTTTTCAAAAACCAACTTTATCTAGGAATGAGCCTACAAAATTGAATTATAAATAGTCAAATGAATTTTCCAAAGGCACCAGCCCTTCCTGGACAGGGGTCAGTTAAAAAACCATCCCTGAGGCTCTGACAACCACCAAAGGCAGAGGGCAGCAGAGACTACTCAGGAATCTCCAGCAGGTCTCAGCCAAAAATACAAGTGACCAAAAAAGAAAGAAAAAGAAAAAGCAAATTGGACTTCAAATTAAAACCTTTTGTGCTTAAGGACTCTATCTAGAGAGTGAAAAGAAAACTCCAAAAACACATTTCCAAATTACATATTTGACAAGAATATATAATAAAGAACCCATACAACTCAGTGATAACTAGACAAATACACATTTTTAAAGATGGGCAAAGGATTTAAATTGATATTTCTTCATAGAAGATGTACACGTGACCAACAAAGACATGAAAAAATTGCTCAAAATCCGTAGTTATTAGGAAAATGCAAATTGAAACACAACGAGATACCTTATCATATCCACTAGGATGGCTATAATAATAATTAAAAAAACAGAAAATAAGTGTTGGTGAGGATGTAGAGATATTCTGGGACCCTTATACACTGCTGCTGGGAGAAATGTAAAATGGTATACCCACTTTGGAAACCAATAGTTTTGGCAAGACTTCAAAGAGTTAAATAAAGAATTACCACATGACCCCACATTCCATTTCTGCGCACATAACCAACAGACATGAAAACATGCATTCATGTAAAGCCTATACACAAATATAACAACATTATTCATAATGGCCAAAAAGTGAAAACAACCCCAATCTCCATAAATGGATCAACGGAGAAACAAAATGTGTAGGTACAGCCATACAGTGGGATAACATTCAGCTACCTAAGCAGGTATGAAGCAGTGAGTCATGCTACCATATGGATGAACCTGGACGATATTATGCTATGTGACAGAATCCAGACACAAAAGGTTCATGTGTTATATGACTCTATTGAGATGAATGTCCTGAAGAGGCAAATGCATAAGGACAGAAAGTAGATTGGGGGTGCCACTGGACTGAAAGGGAAGGAATACTGGGGACTGAAGGCTAACAGGGTATGAGGTTTCTTTATGGGTGATGGAGGTGTTCTAAAATTGATTGTGGTGATGGTTGCACAACTCTGTACAAAGTCACTGACTTTACAATTTATGTGAAAAATATCTCAGTAAAGTTGTTATTTAAAAGAAATTCTTCAGAGACTCCCACTGCCTTGGGATAAACTTCAGCCTGCTTAGTTGGCTTCTCCTCCTGCCCCATGTTCCACTCCAGCCATCCTAAACCATTTGTACCACTTCTTCCATGGCCTTGCCCTTGGAACTTGCTCTTCCTACAACATTCTTACCTCCCTCACCCCACCGGTTCACCTATTTACTCCCCACAAGGTCAGTTATTAGGCAGTTAAAGAACATGTCTTGATGACTTGGGCTTTCACTGTGAATTTCTCTATTGTGTCATAATCAAGTAAAATCTTCTAGTTCACCCAGACTTGAACGTTGCTTTCTTCAAACCATAGGCTTTGATCTTAAGACTATAGCATATTAGAATTGCTAGGCCTATTTCAATATTCTCCCACCTCTTCCTTATTTTCAGGTAACAAGGAAGCAGTATCAATCAGTGATTGGGAATAGGAGTTCTGGGGTCCAACCCAACTTTGAACGCCTGGCCTTTATCAACTAATTAGTTAACCTACTTAACTTAATTTACTCTGCCTCAGCTTCTTCAACTGAAAAAAAATTGAATGACAATATTTACAGCATATGATGAATAAATAAGATTTAAATGATCTAAAAACTGAGATGTTAAGTGTTAAGTTTTTTTAAAGTATGAAAGTAAATAAACTTAGAATGATTGCTTGAGTAACTTACCAGAGTAAGAATGAATGATAGTTTTTGTTTTTGTTTTTACATCTAACTTTCTACTCCAAAACTCCTGCTTTGCCCTTGGCCTTGTATTACTGATGGATTGCTATGTTTCATTCACTAAATTTGAACTTTTTTTTTTTTTTTTTTTTTGGCAATGCTTTCTGCCAAAGGAGAGAATATGCTAGTTTAGGTTAATGGAACATTTAAAGGAGAGGGTAAAAACCTGTTTTGGGAACTTTCTAGGAGACCTGCAGGAACTGGGGTTCTGTGTGCTCCTGAGCTGCTTCCCAAGAACTCACACAGAAAGAAGACCACCAGTTTCAGACATGAGTATTAAGGTCAAGCTAAAGAAAAAGAATGGTGCTCAGGTCAAACCTCACTTAAAGTGTCTAAAGAGAAAAATGGATCCCTCAGAAGGGAAAAGGATCAGTCAAGGAAACCCAGAAAGGGAGGGGTGATGTGAGAAGCAGACCTCACTCTGGTGAATTACATAGAAGTGCAAGGAGTTGGAGCACAGATTCTCAGACTTGGTTCTACTGGCAAAACTTACTCTAATATCAGATCATTTCCACCAAACCCTCAGGCTCCTGTCCCTCCATCACATGGTTTTAGAGCAGGAACCTACTGCTCGAAACTGGCTGCCATGTTTGTTCTGGGCCATAGGTCTGTCACATATTACCAAATCAAGGATAAACAGGCAATCTGGCTTTAGAGTTTAATCTTAAGTTTCAGTTTAATGATACCTGTGCAGGCTTCAGGCTTGCACAGCAAATTTCCTGAGGCAACAGGCTTCCAGGTGAAGAACCTGCATGCCTTTTCCAAGCTGCCTCTATGTGTGCCTTGACTGCCATGGGAAAAATGAAAAATGGGCTCTATTTACACAAACTCCCTACCGCCTTCTTCCCATATGAAGTCACAGAACTCTGTTTCACCCAAAATTTGGTATTTTGTTGTAAACCCAAAGTACTCCAGAACATGGGGGAAAGTGAATATCATTGATATCCCACTTAAACAACTCACTCTTAACCAACTCTTCCAACAGTATTCAGTCCATGATTCATGCAGGAAAAGTGGTCCCTAAATTCTCCACTCTACCACACAGATTCACCAACACTTGTGAGCACCTCCGAGGCACCAGGGATGGGCAAGGGGCTTTTACACAAATGATCTCCCCCCAATCTACAATACTATAGTCTATATTGCTCACCCAAAAATAACTCTGCAGAGCTGAAGGTCTTTCTGAAGAAATGACCCTACAGTTGAGACTAAAGCTTAAAACAAGGCCAGCGAAATGATGAAGGAGGATGGGATGGGAGATGCAATAATAGAAGCAGGCACACTTTTGGCAGACACAGTCCCCCACCAAACACCTCATGTGTAAAAGAACCCAGCCAGGCTGGGCCTGGGTGAAGAGGGAGGTGGTGGGACTGAGGCTAAAGGTGAAGCAGGATATCAAGGAAGCTGAAAGAATGGAGGTACGAACAAATAGCTAACGACAAAGGAAAAAACCAAGATACTTCATTTACTTACTGTAAAAGTCCTACCATCTTCCATTTATGACATAAAGAAGAGACACACATCCTACCAAAAAAAGTACTTTTATGGCTTTTTAGAGGCCCTTTTAACAGTATCGGAGTTACATATGTAACTTCTCTAAACTGGAAACTTCAATAATAGATTTACTAAATCTATGAGATCATAGAATGGCTTAGCATTCATTGCCTTTCCCCTTTAGAAATAGGTTACTTTGTTCTTTTCTCATAATAGTCACCTTCTGCCAAGAATTAGAGTAAATGAAAGCAGAGCTCAAGGGTGAAGCAATAGAGAACCAAAGAATTAGAATTTACCCCAGAAATGGGAAGATGATTTAATACTAGACGACTGTAGAAAATCTGTTATTGTACTTCACCTCATTAACAAACTAAAGGAGGAATATCATTATGATTACATAAAAATATTAGATCATAGGACATGCATAAGCTCTTACAGAGGTATAAGATGTAGAAAAATTCAATCCCATTTTTTTTAAAAAACAAGCAAACAAAATACCTCTTAACAAAATCCTTGCATAATTTAATTAAAGGAATACAACAAACACCCACAATAGATATACTTAATGATGAAATGTTGAAAGCATTCCCTTTATCAGGAATGAGGCCAGACTCCTCCATCGCATTTCTATCCAATATTATATAATATAAAGGGGCGGCTTTGGTGTTGGGCGTAGTGTGGTGACACACATCTGAGAAGGTGTGAACCTGTTCCCCTAAGTCACATACAGTACTATAAACCAATTTAATTTTTTAAAAAAGCAATAAATAAATAAATACTAATATAAAGCTACAATTACCAACTTATGGTTCACACGAGTGACTTGATAGTGTCTTCTAATGGAATCGCTCCCGTACTTTTAATAAAATACCATGAATTTAGAACACAGGCACAATAATTCCGAACACCACCTACCACTAATATCATCAGATAGTCGAATGCCAGCGAAAGATAGCAAATGCTAATTTTAAGGACTGTGAAGCAGGAAAGAAAATCTCCCTGAGAGCTCAGGGTATAATTTGTTTCTTAAAACAGTGACAACCCCTGAAATAAGGTGGGAAGATGTTTTCAAACTCTCTCACTATGAACACCTAAATCACAGACCCAGAGCTGAGAGGGAAGCAGGAGGTAGGAATCCTTCTCTCTATAACTTCTATAACTTCTCTGTAAGGTGGGCAGGTTATGTAATCAGCACCAATTCTTATTATATAATAAAAAAATTCTAGACTGATTAAAATGATTACTTCAAAAGTGAAAGTGACACTTTGTCTTAGGTTGGGGAAGGTCTTTTCCAAGTGAAAAAAGGGGGTGGGAGAAAAAAATGAAAATCAGATTTGAGAGACTTAACCACTTGCTATCAAGTGTTGGCAAGGACTTAAGAAAACAAGCACTCTCATGATCTGTGGGTAGAAACAAAATAGAATAATATCACTCGAGGGCAATCTGGCTGAATGTATTGAAAGTCTTTTCTAGAATCATACTTGGACATGGAATGTCTAGGAATTTTTCCTAAGGAAATAATCAGAGGCATATAAAAAATGTATTTAAAACATTTAAAGACTGAAAAAACATAAATACAACAGGTGACTAGTCAAGTACATACAAAATACTTCTATAATGGACCAATACTACCTAGCCTTTGAGATTATGTTTAAAAGAATAGTTAGTGATGACAAAATGATCAGAAAATATAAAATTCCAAAATGAACATATGTACAGGATTATGCTTAAAAAATTTTTAACTTACTGGATACAGAACACACACATGTGAGCATACACACATCTGGAAGAAAACACCAGAACAGTGATTATGGTATTACCTGGTGGGGAAATTTGGGGTGATTTTTTGTTCTGAGTAACCAAAAACATGCTGGTAGACCTGGATAATTCTCAATCTCAAGACTCAGATACTGCCACCTCTTTCAAGAAGTCCTCCTGTATTACTTCCCCTCTCCCCTGTCTTCCACATTATTCTAGCTGTTCCTCCTTTGTACTTAACGCTGGGCTGTCCTCTAGGATATTCTATATCCCTGAGTCATAGTGATTTGACTTCATTATATTCCTTTTACACTTGGAACTGCCTGTAGTCAGAACTTGGGGTGCTTCATTTTATCACCCCAATCTGTCTAGAATCTAATAGAATCAAGATTGATATTGACTAAGCAAATGATTTTCTGTGCTCTGTGAATTTAAAGGTCAAGGACAGAAACGTTAACAAGGATAAGCAAATAGCAGTGAGGAGACAGCTCTTCTTACCTTGGCTAACAGGCTTGAAACATGTTTAACTTCCCCATTTGCCTTTAGTAATTCTTGTCTGAGCTCTGTACAGGTCAGTTCCAGCTGATCTTTCTCAGCTCGAGCTAATTTCAACATTTCTTGAACTTCGTAGCCCTCTGCCATTTGCCCCATGTGACAGGTCTCAGTGGCTTTTTGCTTCTCATTCTCCAAGTTAGCCTTCAAAGACCCATTTTCAATCTTCAGTCCTTCCAAGGTAACTTTACATTCTTCCAAAGTTTTGACCATTGCACTATTATTATGCCGTTCCAGTTCTAGAAACCCATTCAGTTTTTCATTTTCTTCCTTCAGGTGTTTAATCATTTCCAAAGCTCCTTGGTTTTCTTCCTCCACCTTCCGTAAGCTACAGGTCAACTGCTGTTGGATGTTGAGCAGCTTTTCTCTTTCAAAGCGGCCCTGTTCAATAATTTCTGTGCACTTCTGTTCCAATTCAAGGATTTTCCCTTCTTGAACCTTGGGCTCTTCATTCTTTACTCGCTCTTGTAAAAGATTTATTAACTTCTCATTTTCTTGACTTAGTTGTTCTGCCCTCTCTCGATGCTGGTGAAAGGAAGTTTCTAAGAGAGTCTTCTCATCGACCAGTTTCTCATTTTCTGCTGTCAATTCCTGCACCATTTGTTGCTGGTCTGATAATTCTTGCAAAGTAGCCTGCAGTTCTTCAGCTGTGCTATGGTGGTTTTCTTCCATCTTCTGTATCTTCTCTGTAAGGGAAGCCAGGGACAACTCGCTCACATTGTTAGGGGAGCTTCCGGTGGTAGAACACCGAGAACTCTTAAAGGGATTGCTAGTGGAAGACTGGGGTCTGGAGGGGGTATCTGCTGAGATGTGTTCAAAATCAGAGGCATCTGGTGACAAAGAAGCTTTGGTAACATCACTACTTGAAGAACCCGATGTCCGTAATGCATTTTCATGTATATTTTTTTTATATTCATCGATTTCACCTGACAACTGATTTCCAGTTGAGCTTCCGAAGCTTGACTCTTGAGTTATAGATGTCGGGCAGCTGCTATCACCGGTGTGACTTGCTTCCCCTTCTGAATTTGGTGACTGCTCAAGATAAGTTAGTTTCTCTTTCAACACCCGGTTTTCTTCCTCTAGATCAGCAAGTTCTTTCTGAAAATTCTTGTTCTTTTCTTCAAGAGCTCTGATTAAAGGTTCTGAGTCACCTGCTAAGACTGATGTTCCATCTACATTTGGGTCCAAAACATCAGTTCCTTCAGGGCTCAGAGTCTTTTTCTCCTTATATTTCTTTAGCTCACTTCGAAGCCTGTTAATTTCACTATCTTTTGCTTTGGCTTCTGCCAAAAGCTCCCGAACTTGGGATTCAAGCACAGCCTTTTCTCCACCTTCATTCTCTTGCTTGGGTCTAGTAGATGTGGTTCTCAGGTGCTTGGTAGGAGTGGGTGTGCTGGAAGAGGTTGGACTAGAAACCGATTTCCTTGTGTTGGAAGGACCACGTGGCACAGTTCTCTCTCTTGAGACAGTTACGGAAAGTTCTCGAGGAGCTGGAATGCCCGTCCGTTTGGTTGTGGCCACAACCCCTAAAAAGAGAAAAAGAAACCAGTGAAACAAAGGAAGCATTTTTATCAATAAACTCCAAATGACTTCAATCACATGGTTCAGTAACCAGGGTACCTTTTGCCCTTCATCCATTTCCTCCTGCTCTAGATAACTCCCTACTTCTGACTGGGTGTCTGCACATCTGATAGCTCTAAACTCTTGCAGGAAGGTGATTCCAAGCCTCAGCTGCTCAGCACTATCCCAGCTAGAGTTGTTGGTTCAAGGCATGAGCACATACCTCAATGCAGGTCAATGAAACAGAAGCAACAGTTTTCTGGGTGTGCTTCTTAAATACTCCTGGACATGAGTGAGGGATCAGGTGAGGCTGGGAATGGCTGATAACTATGGCAACTAAACAATGGCCTTTTGACAAATATAAGTTCACTGGGAATTTCTCAACAAACACCTTTAAATAAATTCATCATTAACATATTTTGAGAACAAATATGATTCAACATCAAAAGACAAATAAGGAAAGGTTAATAACCCAATGACACTTCTGTTCACATAAGTGGAAATGGTGTGTTCATTTGCATTCATAGAGAAACAAGAATAAATGGAATATGTACCTATTTTGTATATATCTATGGTATAGTTCAAAATGTTAAAGGAATTTATATAATAATATGGAAATGACACAGAATTTAGAAAACCTATATGGGAAATGAAAGGTAAGGAATTATTTTTTATTTTCATCTAGACTACATTTTTAATTCTCATCTATACTACTTACTACAGATAATTTTTTAAAAAAATTCTAAGGGTGAAAATCCATACATCTATCCCCGGTGTCCTCTAGAAATGAAACCCACCTCTGAGGATAAAGTATAAATTAAAATTCTGGATCTATTTTATAAACTCAAAGACTGTTTGATGAATCTAGGCCAAATGCTGTAACTTACACAACTAAGCACATTGGATTGGCATTCTCTACAGTGTGGGAAGAGCTACGGGGAGGGGATGTACCCACAGACTGGCAGCAACCCCAGTCTACAAGGCAGAAACAGAATCCAACATGGCACAATAGTTCCAAACCCACTGCCAAGACGGCTGCTAAGACATGAGCAACTGCACATTTAAACATCCTTAAATCTGAGGTGATGATGTAAAGGCATTCATTGCTAAGTGTCTAATAGTTGAGTGTTTTTAAAACTTTGACATAATGAAGGCTAAAATGTCATATTAATATCCAGAAAAATTGAATTAGATAACTTTTTCAGGTTAAGTTAATGGGAAGTTAAGAGTACTGTAATACAAAGTTAATACTTCTAAGTGTCCAGATGTCTCATTTGCATTCAATATATAATACTGAATACTATATATTCAATAAAGACTTAATTTTTCTTATAAAATGAAGATTAAAATCATTAAGCAATAAAATGTTTTGTAACACCAGTTCTCTAGAGTGAAGTAATCTTGGCAAGGACCATAATGAAAACTGGGCCATAACTAAAGATTCACTGTAACTATAGTCAAATTAGCAAACCCAAGTGTCCAGGACTGAATATCACAGAGGCAATTACCCTTCCTAATAATGTCACTAAAACTGATACTTTTTTCCAATCATTTGTTGGTTTTGAAAGTGGGGAGAATTCAAATAGAAAAATAGATAAATTGTCATCATTTCTAGGTAGACCTTAACTCCTTCCTTTGGCTGCCAAATCTTAGTCTGTTCTCCACTTAGATGTTAATTATGCCTTGTCTAAATTACTAGGAATTTTTTTTCTATCAAGCCAAAGTACATTTATGAAATACAGTCAGTTGTGTATTATGAAACATACAATCCAGTTGTGTTTTTTACTACATCTGTCTGTTTTTCCATTTTACCATTTCATCATCACTTGGAGAGTTGCCAGTATAATTGCTTTCTATTTTCTAAAAGATTTTTCCTATCTCTACACACATCATTTCAGAAACTAATCAGCAGAGGTGAAGTTTAAATTCACTCACCAGACCAAATAAGGTTGATGCTGGATGCTCATCCCTGTTTGTGCCTGTCTGTGACCCTTACATACCCCTCACAGGCATGGGAGGCGAGAGTAGGGTGGTGATGGCCCTACAGCCTACAGCCAGCGTCTCCTTCAAGTACCCTGAGTCAGAAGCCTCTGCTGAAAAGCACATTTTAGAAGGCTGAAACTGAGCATCCTACCTACAGAATATACCATGGCAAGGGAGCCACAATAGTGGTGGGAAGACTGGGCCAATGGAAGAGAGACTGGCTCATTTTATCTTCTCATCCTTATATAGCTAATCATCACTTATTCCCTACTGAAACTGGCTGTCTGACTTTAAGAATTAAAATAAAGGGCCTCCCCAGTGGCGCAGCGGGTTGAGCACAGTGCTGTGAAGATGTCCATAGCCTCTGCAGCGAGGGTTTGATTCCCGGCCAGCCAGGGAGATACCCACATGGCACGGCAGACCTCTCCTGTCTCTCCCGCTGCTCCCCTCAGCAGTGCTTTCGGTCCATCTGCCTGTTCTGCATCCCGCTCTGTCTCTGGTGAATCCTCTTACCCTCCCACGCCTCTGGCCTGTGCTCCAACTATTGTATAAATAAAATAAATCTTTTTTAAAAAAAGAATTAAAATAAAAACAAGATCCCCCTCATAGTTATGAAGTCTAATACAATAATTTAAAAAACATGTTTGACATGTTACATTTTAAAATGCCAAATGAAAAATTTTATTATCTGATCACAGGTGCATCAGACTACATATTCAGAGACATGCACTAGAAAAGAAACGCAATACTGAGAACAGTTGCTTATTGAACTGTAATTTTCCTTTTTCTTTTCTTTTTTCACAGTTACATTTATGCAATAAAATTTAAAACCAGGTGGGGAAAATCTTATAAAAATATAGAAAGTAAAAAGGGGGCAGGGAAAAGAAATCTTTTCAGAGAACAATGATATTTAAAATAACAATAAGGGCCTCCCCTGGTGGCGCAGGCGGTTGAGCACTGCGCTGTGAAGCTGTCTGCAACCTTTGCAGCACCAGTTCGATCCTGGCTGGCAGGTGAGGGTCCCACATGGAGCGGCAGGCCTCTCTTGTCTCGCCCGCTGCTCCCCTCAGCAGTGTGTTTCATCAGTCTGCCTGTTCTGTTCCCAGCTCTGTCTCCGGTGAATCCTCTCACCCTCCCGCGCATCTGGCCTGTACCCCGGTTCTTGTATAAAATAAATAAATAAATCTTTTAAAAAAATAAAATAAAATAACAATAGCATAATCATTTAAATCACGGATCAGTTTTTAAGTAGTGATTCTCAATGAGATGAAAATAAAATACTTTCAGTCCTTTTTTAATTTCCTCATCTTACCCAAAGAATATGCTACTGGGGTTGTTCTTTGGAAGGTCTTCTCTCGAACATTCACTGATGAGGGAAAAAAGAGACATTCCAAAATAAATTATTATTCTTTCATTTATTTAACAAGAATTCAGAGTGCCTGCTCTGTGGGAGGACAGGTGGGGACACAAATGAAAGCTCACTACCTTCACATTGTGAACAACTGCTGCCTTGCCTCCTAATAAACACAAAAGAACTCGCTCATCCATTTTCTAAGAATGTAACCCACCAGGATATTTTCCTACTATCACTCTTTGTAAATTTTTTCTCAAAAAGATCCCATAATTTCTTATGTCAAATCTAATTTTCCCCTTATTCTTAATCCTTCTCAACTTCTCAGTGGTTACCAACTTTGTAACTAGCTGTTCCTTCTTTCTTTCATGCTCCTAATTCATTTCTGACAGTGCCACCGATCATTTTTCAGGCCCCCTTATTTGAAGAAATTTAACATCCCATTTAAAACTTCCTTCTGCTTTTCTTTTTGCAACCAACCATTTGGTCCCTAAAACCTATTAACTGTCTTTGGAAGTGTTGCCATATTTCATTTCCTTTCAGTGTGAATCTAGTCCAGGTCCTCAGAATGATCCATCTAAGTTTCAGAAACTTTCTCACAAAGTCTTCCTGTTTCCAGCCTCTCCCCCGTGGAGATATACTAGAGCAATATACCTTAAATATCATCCATCTTTCTGTCCCATAATCTCTAAGTAGTTCTCATCTACTTCCTATCTAACTTCCTATCTAAAGTTAAGAAAGGTCACACATAATCTCATCTTAATCAAATATCCAACCTTATTCACCTTTTGGGTTTGTTTGATATGCATATATATAGCTTTCCAGCTTACCCCTTTAGCTCTAATGTCCTCAATATCCACAATATACCTGTGATTTCCTGAAATACCACTCCATTTTCACTGGAATATAACATTAAACACGCTTAATTTTCTTCAATTGAAAAATCACCTGGAATATAGGTATCTTCCTCCAGCTAATATCTGAGTTATCTCTTCCCCCCTAAAGCAGAACTGTTCAGAGTTATGTTTACTGGTTGTCTTAATTTCTTCCTTGTATTAACAACTCTACCTAACCCCTATTACTCAACCAAAAGATTGTCTGCTGAGGTCCTCAATGACTTCTATGTGGTCCATTGCAATGGATATTTTCAGTCCTCTCAGCAAAGCTGAGCAATTCTGTTCTTTTTTAAACACAACTGTGATGTCATAGTCTCCTAATTTCTCTCTTATCTCAGCCACCATCCTCTGTCTGTCTCCTTTGCTGGTTCCTACCCTTCTTTCCATTCTCTACACTTTAGAGTTTTTCCAGGCCTAGGTCCTGGGTCTTTTTCTTCCCTTATTACAAATATTTTCTTCATGATTCTACTAATCCCATCATCTGTACACCATCTGTAAACTGATGACTTCCAAACTCTTCTCTGCACATTGAATCTAAACATCAAACAATTTACTTGATAAGCATAATTGAATTATCACAAAAACATACCAAAGTAGTGAAAAGGGATAAAAGGAAAGTTAAGAAAGAGTGAACAGAATGTGCAAAGGTTGTGGAATCCAAAGAAACACAAACAGGGATGGGAACTAGTGAGGAAGAAGGCTAATCTATATAGCATACTCAAAGAAGGTCTCATTGATAAGAGTTTGAGATTCAAGGTGATGTATATCAATTTAAAATAGCCAAGGAGCTATAAAGAAAAGGATAAGCTAAGACAAATAAAAGCGCTCAAAAAAATTTAAATGAGTTTATCAAACTAAAACACTCAATAGAGGACTGATCAAGGAATTCTCCTAATGCACAGAACAAAGTAAAAATGAGATGGAAACAGGAACGAGAAAGCCAACCCAAGAGCTCAAACAACCAATTAACAGATGCTCCAGAAAGATAGACCAATGGAAAGAAAGTAAAGTATCAAAGAACTAATATAAGAGAATTCCTTAAAGTTGAATAACTAGCATCTCTAGAACCCATGTTAGGTAAAATGAAAGAGAACAAACCCACAAGAAAACACAACTTTTACACAGTTTCAAAACATCAAGAATGCCTAAGTTTAGGGAAGGTGTGTGTATGGAGAATGAGAAAATGGCCACCATCAGTAAACAATATTGAATTCTAAATGGCAACAAAGCAAATACCTTCAAAGATCTGATTTTCAAAGCAAATATCTTTCAAATTAAAATGATTTTCAGGGCCTCCCAGGTGGCGCAGTGGTTGAGTGCTGGGCTGCGAAGCTGCCAGCAGCCTCTGCAGCGCGGGTTCGATCCCCGCATGCCAGCGAGGGTCCCACATGGCGCGCAGACCTCTTCTGCTGCCCGCTGCTCCCCTCAGCAGTGTACTTCAGCCATTCTGCCTGTTCTGCTCCCTGCTCTGGCTCTGGTGAATTCTCTCACCCTCCCGCGCTTCTGACTGTACCCAATGCTTGTATGAATAAATAAATAAATCTTAAAAAAAAAAATAATAAAATGATTTTCAACCTAAACTTCTACATCTGACCTAACTATAATCAATCTTAGAGGTAAAAAGACATTTAAAAACATGCAAAGACTCTGACCAAAACTTTAAACTGCCAACACCCTTTCTAAGCAAATTGTTTGGGAATATGTTCCAGCAAAACAAGGGAGTAAACTGAAAAAAGAGAGGAAGAGGGGTCCAGGAAGCAGTGACTCTATTAGAGAAAAACAGTCAAGGGAAGTCTCCAGAAGATACCCATGCAGTTAGTCTGGAGAACAAGTGCAGACTGGTTGGAGAGAACAAAGTGCCTGAGAAGATAAGTTTTGTTTTTTTTTTTTTTAATGGAAATCTGATTGGATGAGCAGTATGAAAGAAATGATGTAATAAAAATAATGAAAAATCCAGAAACTACATCAAAACAAGCTGCATTAAAACAGTAACAAAATCACAGCATATGACTTCATTCTGCAGGGAAGAATATTTATGTACTCACAATAATATTAACACTATGTAAAGGGACCTAGACACAAGTATGCCAGACAACTTTATAGAACACTTGAAAATTATCATTCTTGCTAGCAAAAAAAGGTTAAAGTATAGATGAAAGATATTGGAAACAGAAAACAAGGTAGATAGATTTGGTAGAAAGGATAGTGAAAATAACATCCATCCTCAAAAATGAAGTTAAAGATATTATATACAGTTCACAGTACAAGAATAAAAATACATTATTAAAATAAAAGAGATAACCAAGAAAGGAATGGAAAATAATGATATTATGACACTTGGAGGGATGAAAGGTGAGTTAAATCCTCATCCAGAAGGAGGTAACAAAATGTCTAAATTTGGGCCTCCCTGGTGGCGCAAGGGGTTAAGACGCAAGGGATTAAGAGTTCGATCCCTGGCCAGGGAGCTACCCACATGGTGCAGCAGACCTCTCCTGTCTTGCCCGCTGCTCCCCTCAGCAGTGTATTTCAGTAGATCTGCCTGTTCTATTCCCCACTCTGTCTCTGGTAAATCCTCTCACCCCCCACACCTCAGGCCTGTACCCCAGTTCTTGTATGCATAAATAAATAAATCTTTAAAAAAAAGTCTAAATTTGAAAAATAAACAAATATCAATGTCAGGAGAATGAGAGCTCTGCTCCCATGTAAACCCTGGAGCTGTGCTCCCCTCAGAGCTGTGCCCCTCACAGCTGGTGGTCCTGGGAAGGGGGAGAGCTGAGTAGTATGGGTGCACCCTTAGCTAAGGAGGGATGAATGCAGAGGAGCTGGGGTGTACCAGGCAGGCCAGGTTCTCAGTGTAGAGGACAGGGTGCTGGACTGCATCCCCCTCACCCTGGGACTGACCCTGTGAAGCACACTGACAGCACACAGACTGCAGAGATGTGGGTCTGGATACTCAGACAGGGGGGTTAGCAGCAGTGTTACAAACACAAACCAGCTCCTTCTGCTCAGTTTTGCTCTATCTAAAATGGCTCTTTAAAATAGCCTATTAAAAAACATTAACCAACACATCACCCAAAGCAGTGATAGTGAAGGCAAAGATAAACAGCTGGGACTACATCAAATTAAAGAGCTTCTGTACAGCAAAAGAGACCATAACAAAAACAAAGAGAAACCCCACCAACTGGGAGAACATTTTTGCACACAACACTAATGATAATGGACTGATCACAAAAATCTGCAGAGAGCTGATGAGACTCAACAACAACAAAGAAAATAATCCCGTCAAAAAATGGGCAGAAGAGCTAAAAAGAAACTTCTCTGAAGAGGAAATGCAAATGGCCAACAGGCATATGAAAACACTTGTCATCAGGGAAATGCAAATCAAAACTACAATGAGATACCATCTTACACCAGTGAGAATGGCACATATTAAAAAAACTAGCAACAACAAGTGTTGGCGAGGGTGTGGAGAAAAAGGAACTCTTCTGCACTGTTGGTGGGAGTGCAAACTGGTCCAACCACTATGGAGAGCTGTGTGGAGATTTCTGGACCTACTAAACATAGAGCTTCCATATGATCCAGCAATTTCACTCCTAGGTATTTACCCAAAGGACACAGAAACATCAATTCCAAAGAACACCTGCACCCCTATGTTTATAGCAGCACTATTTACAATAGCTAAGCTTTGGAAACAGCCCAAATGCCCAAAAATAGATGACTGGATTAAGAAGATGTGGTACATATATACCATGGAATATTACTCAGCATTCAAAAAAGATAAACACATGCAATTTGCAGCAACATGGATGGCGCTGGAAGGGATCATGCTCAGCAAAATAAGCCAAAAAGAAAAAGAAAAATACCGGATGGTCTCACTCATAGCAGGAATCTAGAAAACTTAAATAAGGGACCAGAAAAATGAATAACTATAAGAAAGCGAAAATCAAAATCAACAAAAAACTATGAACCAGAGACACTTTTTGGGGGGTGAGGGGTGGGAGGGGAGGGATTGGGGTCAGAATGGGGGGGTTGCAATTGTATGGGGAATATAAAAATAAAATTTATTATTAAAAAAAAATTCAGAAAATATAATACATTAAAAATCCGAAAAAAATACTG